GAGAAGCTCATATTTCAAGCCAAGAGAAGAGTTTAGTCATAGGAAAGATGCTCTCCAGAGGTTTTCAGTGGGACAGACGGAAGAGGAGAAGATAGCGTCTGGGTGTTTTTCGACGAAAGTGAGATCTTGGATAGAAGACGAGCGCCTTGGTTCCTCGTATGGAAAACGAAGCTGGGACTAAGCATTCGTAGGGCAGAACTAAGTTATCCTAGAATCACGGCTACCTAGGTAGAGAGTAAAAAAAAGAAACTACTAAAGTAAAATATCTACGCGATTCGTGAAGAATCGATAGGCGTCCAAGGTGAATGCAACAAGAAAAATAATGAGATAGCAGTCAGTAGAACAAAAAAAGCATTACAACGTCATTGACCAGCCTACTTGGATCCACAGAACGTTCCATACTGGTGTCGGGCTATATGAAGAGCCAGATTTTTATAGAAAAGGTCTCTGACTAAGTTAGGAGGATCAACACCCATATGAAGAAAACCTGTCTACATGTAGAACACCATCAAAGCGTTCTTCTGAGCGACGAGAACAAGGACAACTGGGTGAAGAGTGATTTTAAAAGAAAGATTTGTTTTAGATAGGAGAGACCAAAGAGACTATTTCTTCAGGCTCTAAGCAAGTAACGGAGACAGCTAGTCAGCTCATCTCTTCATAAACGCATCGAAGACCAGGCACTAAAGCTTTGGTCTCGTTTTTTGAGTGATCCAAGAGATCCTTTAGCGATTTGCAGAAGGGCAGAGAAGAGAGTAAATAGATAGGAACGTTTTTGCGAAAGGGCTACGATGATGCCAAGAAGACTGGCTTTTTTCAAGACAGTCCAGTGCAAGGGGATCTTTCGCATAGAAACAAAAATAGCGATGAAATTACACACCCTCCTCATCCCGTGTTTCATCCTACACTCTCACGATTACCGGTTCGACTTTCTGCTACTGTAATTCCAGGTTATCCATTTTGAAACTCATTTTGAGAGAAGAATGGAACAGAAGTGAAAGTGAACAGTGAGCAAGCTTCGGAATTACGCCATGCATTCAACCTATTTTCGTTATCAAAGGACGCTAGCTTTCATGTAATCTTCATGCAGTCGTGTGCTCCGAAATCACTTCAGGAATTCAGTAACAGCTTTGCCTAATCAGATCAAAATGCTTCTCTCGGAGTAGACCATTTGATTGGCCCGGGTGTGTAGAGGTTTACTGGGAGGAAAAACGCCTGTAGGTGAAGTCAGTTCCTATTTACGAACATATCGAAGGGAGTTTCCCGTTTAATATTCATAAAATAGATGAGGAAGCGGTTGGCTGAACGATTCCACATGTTTGGTAAAAGATCGAACGTTCAAGAACCTCGCTCGAGTCCCAACAAGGTTTTCCATCGTATAAGGGGCGATAAACTGGTACTCGTCTGGGAAGATAAAAACCCTTGACATCAAGTGTTCTTCACACTCCACTGAATGGAACGAATATGCATCCAGCAAACACTTTGATTCTGATTAGAAGTTGAAGGTAAGTGGAAAAAAAACTGATTGGTTTACAGCTGAAGCTTCATCCTCAGCTTTTCACTAGAAGCTCTTCGGAAGCGGCTTCAGCCTAACCACAATCTCTACGCACTCAAAAAACTCTTTTTGAAATTAGCGACTAGCCAAGCGAGTACCGTGTTTGTAATCAGTGATAACAGCTCTATTTAAGTCTACCCAAATTACAGTTGAAATAACAAAAAATGCTTTGCTTCTGAACTTCAAATCTCCGAGTTCTGCCCGAAGATGGATTAGCTGCCTTGAGCTCGCAGAATCTCATTGAATAAAAAGGTTAAAAAACTAATCGCCTTATTGAAATCGATGGACTGACAAAAAATCATACGGAAAGGGGAGAAATCGGCAGGCAGCGCAAAACGCTTCGGTAGAAGTAAGGGTCGGCGCCAGCGACTGTAGACCAACAAGGTGATACAACAGTATACCACACAGTGTAGAAGTAGAGATTAAGCAGAATTCTTTCCACAAGCTGCATCTGTTTTTGAGAGAATAGCTGGACTGATTCTTGCTAGAGAGTTAAGTTCATAGGAATTCTTTTCTGTGTGGACGAGAAACTGACTTCATTTATTTACAGTCCCATTGAATAGGCCAATTACGTACTCAAATGTCCCAACGATCTCGAACGGCAAACAATTACATGGCGCATTCCAAGAAGCGCTTTTATCGTTGGGCGTTTTCTGCTTGAAAATTATCGCATAAATTATATATCCGCATTCGTCCTATGGTGAACAAGTAAGTAGTAGGAAACGAAATTAATTGGGAGAGATTCGTAAGTGAAGAAATGATCGGACGTCACTTGACATGCACCACAAGAGCGATTGATACGTGAAGGAATCGGATCAAACACGGGTGGTGAACACTGGACGACGGAGACGAAATGTCCTAATTCGTCTACGATGAAGAGTGGACGACGAGCGTTAGGCCGACCGATGATCGAAAATGAAAGCGAACGAACGGTTTAGAAGAAGAAGAAACGACCACGATGACGATTTATGCATAGGAATGGCAGTGATGGTGATGGACGCATGGAATGATGAGTCGGTCGGGTGGAGGGTCGTATGTGTTTTGCGGGGGAGAGATAGAACGCTCTACGGAGAGTAGCGCATTCATGGCGCAAGGTCAGCCGAATTGTGAGTGTGCACGTGGACGTGACGAGTAGACGGCTAGCCGCACGATGAAGGACTATCCTTGTCCCGAAGTGGACATACGAGTATGCAGACGGAGAACAGCCGACGAGGTGGTGAAAAAAGGAGCTGCACGACGACGGCTGCGCAGAAAAAACCAGCGCTGAGATTCATTGGTCCCAGTTGCATGTCAGCTCTTACTTCCCAAAAGAGATTTCCCATGGAACTATTCGGAGAGTAACCACAACTAATGTTAGAACTATTATCCTTTTTTACTAAACCGAATCTCCGTAACCAGGTCTTTACTGGACGATTTCCAAGACGTCTCGGCCGAGTTTTTTTCTGAAGAAAATGCAGTCCCTTCTACCATAGATGTAGGGTTTCTCTACTCCGGAGGATAAACTGTGACGCCTCTCAGGTGTTCTTCTAGGGAACAATTACTTTCCTCTCAGATCCAGCTGCAAAAGCATCAGATTTGATCTGGGAATCCCGAGAGTTCGATGTAAAAATTGTTGATGATACCAATCCTCGTTTTGAGGGAGCGTTATCCCTCAAATCGAAAGTTGTCAATAGAGGCACTTCACATTCCCGTTTTTCTCAGGAGAAATGCTTTCGACCACCAGCCACTCAGCTCAAGAGGAACGCAAGCCAGAGGGTGAAAACTCATGAAGAGGTTTAGCTGATCTCTCGGTCTTAGGGACCTTCAGAAATCCTCAACTGCGAGCTTTACCACTATTTGGCCGATGCTCACGTTTCGAACTCTTCTTAGTGTATTTATTTGTTCAAAGAAACTCACGAAATTACTAATTGTTCACTGGTAGATTCTGGATGATCGAGGCCCTGTTCAAGGCCTCTTTCGGCTGGCAAGGTCGTGTAGTTCTTCAACGTGGCACAATCTCGTACAAATTTTGCCCTAAACTCGCACTTCCCTTTGTAGGTTAGCCTATCACTAATGACTGTAAAGTACGTGACTGAATTTTTAGGATTTCTTGACCCGGTTCCCCAATCAGGGTCCTCGTGAGAGACTGCGAAAGACAAATTTCAATTAAACAGCGATCAAATGTTCCTTTTCTGTATGAGAAGACGAGTGGGACAGCCCATAAGCAACTTCTCTTCCGATCCAAATCGCATGGGACCTCCAGTTTGTATTTGAGCTTTGCCCTGCTATTTCATCTGGAAAAATGGAAGCGGATGGACCGCCGACGGCATGTGGCCTCGAATAAACATAAATCACAGCTTTCAAACGTCGTCTCCAAATTCTATCTCTTGCCTATACCCTCTCGGAAGGGTCATTTCAGCACGCGTGACTCCGACTACACAAGAGGGTGGCTGCAACAGAGTAATGACTTTATAGGCAACTCAAGCCGACTGATAAGGATTTGGAGCCCGGAAGTGGTGCTCAGATGGCCTGAAAATAGTTATAGCCAAGGTACCACCGTTATTCGGTCCAGGTAGTTCATGCTAGTACTCTGATAAGTGCAGATACAGTAGTGGCGATTGCACATTTGGCCCGATGGTAAAGTCTTGGATTGGTTTCCCTCTAACACGTTTCTGTCCTATCTTATTGCTGTGTTCTAGGCTCCTAGGTAGGATTTTATTTGGCCGACGGGTGCATCAGCACGCAATAACAAGCGTGTACGCAGGCCAGGTATGTACTAGTAAGTCTTCAGCGCGACTTTGAACGCAAGGAGAGTACATGGCTTATCCCTCTTGAACTGCAGCTTTTGTAGAAGAATCTAGCCGATCATCAAACCATCCAAAAAATTTTATAACGTTAGATATAATTCTAAGTCGGGCCTAAGCCCTCTTCGTTATAGTCTCCCATACCAACTGATTTGGATATCTGGATCATTCTTTTCACCATGATTAGTGGTTTTCTAGTTCGGCCCTTCAAGAGCTGTTCAATGCAGTCTACTTATCAGGAAACGTAGCAGTGATGGAATAGTGTAGTACTGCCAGAACCTTGATCCCACTGTTTTACCTTTTCAGGCTGCCGCGAATACTTTCAGTAATTTTCATAATTTTATAGAGGCCCCTTTGGCGATTCGCCTCAGTAATACCGTGATTCGACTAGAGGCATCACTCTTGCAATTTAACCGAGTCAGATTCACCTCTTCGATTTCTGCGAGCAAAGAAACCCTGGGAACCAAACCTGGGGAAGGCAAGCACGGATGTAGGAAAAAGACCAATTGGAGCCAAATGTCTGTATGGTTGGTAATTGGTTGTTCGGACGTTCGTTTAATGTGCCTCTCGCTCCCTCGCTCCCGGTCTGTCGGCGCCTTGACAAACCAGTTCTGAAAACGTAAATCAGAAAGGTGAATAACGACCAGTGAGCGACTGATGCCTTCATGAAATTCGTCTTTCTCAATCCACTACTACTGCTCGGTATTTGCATAGACGCTGAAAGACTTATTATTTCAACAACTTATGAAGCCGAGGATGCCGGCCTAACACCAACAACTCATCCACAGTGCAGAGCATGGATGCTTTGGTGGAAAACGCAGGTCAGGTTTCACTTCGTTTACTTTTTATGCCTACATCACTGCTGTGGAACGCAAAAGTGTCTCGATCAGGTTGATTTTTCCGAAGGTTCTTCACATGGATTTTCTAAGTTCCCTCATCATCTTGCTGGACCTCGAACGACTCCACTGCAACCGTTGATTGAACATCATTAATTTTTTGTCTTTACAACAAATAATGTTTCTGAGAGCTTCCAAATGAACTTCGCTCAATCATAGAGGAATAATAACCATCTTCAGAAGCACTAGATGCCTTCTTAGAACACGCCATCGAAGCCTCTACACACATTACTAAGTGTGCGGTGCAAATTGGTCAATGGATGTACAGCGAAATTGTCCAACGGTCTTCTGGGCTCAATGGAGCGGATCTTTAAGGGCCTCCCGATCTTCCTAAGTACCTTCCATTAAACCCTTTGCACCCGGTGAAGGAGGTGAAGAAGTAAATTTCGCAATTCGACTCAAATATTGGCAGAACTAGGAAATAGTGCCTAAAAGCTTGGACGAAATCCGAGTCCCCGCCTACGCATATTTAAAAGAATAGGGAGGAAGAATAAGTGAGGATGGGTTGATTGGGCGCTGAAAAGTGAAGGTTAATTTTACTGATTTCCAGCATGCCGTGGTCGATTTGACTGTGGACGATTTCGATCTGTTGGCATATCGGAGGCAGTGGGTACTTATCGGCAATAAGCACGAAGCAATCAAGTATCACGTTCCCGTCGAGCTTTTCCAAAATTTCACGGTGAGCAAATGCTTCTTAGTAGAAAGTGTCGAAAGAATTTCCAGCTCAACTTTTTCTTCAGTGAAAATTTGAAAACAGTACCTTTTCTATCTATAAAGTCAAATAAAGCTGAGAAGGTGGAAGGCTTTATCCGAGAAGAACGAAGTGGAATCAGTCAAACTACCAGACCCTTCTCACGAAATAACTGAGGTTCACTCACTGATCTGACCTATGGGAAATACAGCTTGGATACGTTTTTGTAGGATCCCTCTAAAATGAATTCAAATGTAGGAGACGTCGTTTATGACCAGAAGGAGAAACATACTACTCGACCTTACGATGTCTCACTACAAAGTTTCTATTTTAGTCGAAAAATCCTATTCCTTCCCAAAAATTCTTGTCAAGTTCCAAAACTGGTCCAATCCGAATGATATACCGATCTACCATTCGAATTATACCAGTTTTCCCTGCTCTCTTTTGATGACACCAGTTAAACTGACTGGCGTTTACAAACAAATAGACGTAAATCCTGCTGCAAAATTGACAACAAAGATCCATTCGGTACATGGGCTTCAGATAAAAAAGCGGGTGAAGTTCAAGAAACAAATCAGACGGAAAAGGGTATCGACAAGATAATTTTGCAAAAATTGTCACAGGTTTTGTTCACAGGTGAGGTCAGCTCCAGAACACGGCTCATCTTATTCCGTTTACTTCTTCGACAAGATTGTAAAAAGAGAAAAAAA